AGTTTTAGGCTTCTGGCACGTTTATATAGAACCATTAAATCATGACAAAAGCCTCTTGGGCAATGTTTCGTATTGAAGCAATCCTATACAAAGTTGTTTACTAAATGATAACGTGATTTTTACACACTTTATTCAACCCGCGACTCAATAAAATACACGGCTTGGAGCTTTTTTACGACCCGCGACTTTGAGTTACCCGCGACATTTTAACCGCGACATTCTACACGCGACACGCGACTTTTTACCCGCGACACGCGATCATTAATCAAAGTCATTAAATCATGACAAAAGGCTCTTGGGCAATATTTCGTATTGAAGCAATCCTATATAGTTGTTTACTAAATGATAACGTGATTTTTACACACTTTATTCAACCCGCGACTCAATAAAATACACAATTTGGAGCGTTTGCGACCCGCGACTTTTTACCCGCGACTTTTTACCCGCGACATTTTACCCGCGACCCGCGACATTCTACCCGCGACACGCGACTTTTTACCCGCGACACGCGACTTTTTACCCGCGACCATTAGTCAAACTCGTACGTTACGATGCGGTTGAAGTGGATAACCGGCTTAAGACTAGGATAAATGTATCAAAAGAATCGTCAATCAGTCAGGCAACGATCAACCAATGAATCTGAGTATATGTCTAACACTCACTAGAAAAGTTTAAAAATATTAATCACCTGTTTGTGAACTTCGCGGCATGTTGGTTTTAGAGCAGTTGTAAACTTCAAACAAGCAAGTTTTAACAGCTGCTGATGGTTTTTAAGGTCCCGCGACTCTTTCATCAGCCTGAGACAATTTTCCTGCACAGAAGAAAAGTAAATCATTATACCATTGTAAGCTTGTTGACATTATGAAAGTTATTTTTAATACAGTGGGGTGTGACACCCCCCGTGAAAACAAGTTGTCGGCGATTCATACATCTAAGTTCTTCTAAGAAAATTTCACTCTGATCCACTCCCAGTCGACACATATTTCGGAAACTAAATTCCTTCAAAACAACCTAGCCCAATCCTCCCTAGATTAATATGATAGGTTCAACAATACCGCCATCTTTTCTATTCTGCGAAACAACAAAGGTAGAGGGCAAAATCTCTACATCGTCTTGCTACTAGAATCAATGCACTGGTCAATATTTATACCTGCAAACTTCGGTACAGCTTCCGTAGACCACCAGTTGTTCTTTCAGCCTCTGACTTTACTTTCTCAATCTCTTCTTGTTTTTCATTTAAAATGTGATCAATTTCTTGTCGATGTTTCTCCTTCACGCTAGAAATTTCCGTCTCTAATTCTTTCACCTGTCACAAAAATACGAAAATCTTTTCTACAAACAGTGAGATCGATCTATCTTAGATACTACTGTATGAATTGCAGCTAGTTTGTTGTTGATATTGGTAAACACTTAAATGGTCCAAATTTTGGCCTGCATGTATGAACAAACGAGCATCGGGGTCGACGAGGGTTGCAAGCAAGAGAGGCATCGGATTCTCATTCCCCAGTTCCCAGTCAATTACAAGGAAACGAGTTGCTACGAAAGTAGACTATATGCATACCCATGCAGGATTAGGCCCGAGAGAATTGACTGGTTTAGAAAACACGACGCGAACTGGAAGACTCGCCTTCCGAAACAAAGAAATTCTTCATGCAAAACATAACGTTTGAATAATTCTTTAGCTCTCAATCTTGAACCGAAATTGAGACCGTTCCATTAAGTTTGCCTCGTCGTCTTTTCCAAATATGTCTATTATTTAGCATCGACACCGTTTTGTGTAAAAAAAAAAGCAAAAGGAAGGCGTGAATGATAGATTTCCTCTTTGCATTAAGTATTTGCAATGACGAGTGAAGCGTGAAGGGGATGTTGACCCTTCCCGCGTAGCTCGCCTGTTTCAATACTTCATGGCATAAGTCAGAATTAAGTAGGATTAGAAAACTTATGGAAGGGCAATTACCTCCTACCACTGCTAAGGTCGCCCTGGGGGGGGGGGGGAGTCTGGGTTTGGTCAAGATGAAAGAGAAATACAGTCGTGCGCAGTACACAAGGGAATTGCCAGGAGTTGCCGTCTTTACATACCCACCTTTGAGTTATGTTCCGTTTTCATCTGCGCCAACAAACGGAACTGTTCCGATTCCGATTCTCTGACCTATAAAAAATGCGAAACTAATGATCGTAATACTCAAATAGCCAAATCAGTGATGTATGTATTTATCAAATCAGCCGAATTATGTTTGAGTTTATTTTCATTCTTTATGTTGTCATAATATTGTCATTGGAAATACTGTTATTAATTAACTTCATTTTGTAACTCAGGTAGTTGTGACAAGTTCGAAATAAAATACTGTGTATTGTATATTTTTATCTTTTCGTCTGATAAATTGATTTACACAATTACTTCGAACAGAATGAATGCAACATTCTCATTCAGAGTACGTTTTGTTTATATTTCTTGAAATTGTTGGTTGTAGATGAATTGTTGAAGTTGATAAATACCTGTAGTTGCTGACCAATTTATTTAGGAAACTGTAAGTTGTTTGGTTGGCAGTTGGCACTCTATTGACGGACCTACCCGATACAGGCTTAATTCCCCTGCATACCCACCTTTGAACTATGCTCCATCTTCGTTTGTTCCAACACATCTTCCAGTTTTCGATGTTGTGCCACTTTTGCGCTATGCTCCTTTTTTATTTGTTCCAGTAAATATTCCTGTTTCCTGTTTTGCTCTGCAGTTTCCTCTAACTTTCTTTTCATCTCCTCTGAAACAACTTGCACAGTACGTACTTGAACTTTGGGTGGTGTTGCTGCAAGATTCACATATTTTGTCTCGGCATCACGCATCTTCTTGCTCGTTGATTTAATCTCATATTCCAGTCTGCGGATCTCGTCACGCAAGCCCTCTTGCGTCTTCCACATTTCAGATTCCACGTCTTTCTTCTCCTGTTTTAAACACTTATTTTCCTCTTCAAGGCGGGTGATGCGACCAGAATAAACATTTATATTCTCTTTTCCTACGCCCTGAAATGTAACACAAGAATGTTGAGAATTTTTTGAAGAAAACCCAGCAAACATACGATTCAAACTAAACTTATAGTCGTAATTCGCTGACACAATCGGTCAAAAATTCTGTTGATTAAGCAAGGTTAGCCCAAATGAATTAACTTTTCATCCGTCAATAGCGATTGAATTTGTTTGACTCAGTTATTTCTGACCGAAATAGAACATTCTTTTAACGTTCAATAAACATTCTTCTACCGCATGTCGTCGCCATTTGGCATTTAATTTATTATTCAAAATGCTAATTGCATGGACCAGAAACGAGAACACCTTGAGCTAGGGGAGTGGTCATTATTTATGGGGAGGGGGGGGTTAGGAAATGGGAGGGGGAGCAAACGAAGTTTTACCCTTATAAATAGAGGGGGCCAAAAAAGTTTAACACAGAGAAAGGGGGGTCATAAAAGTTTTTGAACTTAAATACCATGTCTATAGTTCTGATTTCTATAATCACAAATAGCAAAAAAGAAGACTCTGAAAATGCTATTTCCAATGATCTAGAGACTCAAAATGTTCAAAATTTCCCTGCTCGGCGCCAACCATGGTAGTGCCTCGCGAGTGTGGGAGTCGGGCCCACTAAGTTTAACAAGCTTTCTACCCCCTGAGTGACCCAGTTGTGGTATTTACATAAACATACCATGCAAGTACACTTAACTGATCAGATTCGGTCTATCAACGCACAATGTAACGCTGTATATCCAAAAATCTGTTTCAGAAAATGCTCACATTTCAGTCCTAGGGGTGGAAAAATACAAAAAATTTTACGATACAAAAAACGATACCACACCAAACTTTTTGTCACCAACAACCATCTGTCATCTCTCCACACTCAATATAGTATGGTCCCTTTTTGTAGATGCCCACCCCCAGACAAGTTCTTA